TCATTTTGTGTCTAACTCTCAATTAAGAAATCAATCCTAACTCTAATTATATAATCCTAACCAAACTTGGAATCATTGATATTTCAATCTCTCAGCAGAACACTTCTTCAGTATAATGATAATATAGCCTATGGAGGACTTCCAACCAGGAATAATGTCACCTGTAGTAACCAATGTTCAGAGTAGCAATCTTCTAGAGTCACTGGGCCATTTTTGAAGTAGTTTTGAACATCAGTTTAAGGCAGTTTTGCACGATGTTTTGCATGCCTACAAAGAAATCAAATAGAAAACTGCTTGAAGTTATAAGCAGTCAAAGATACTCTCATACTTCAATCCATAACAGATGTGACACATTCTGATCTTTAGTATTGAGGCAAGTAGACAGAAGGTTAGTTTTGAAGTCTAGAAATGCTAAAATTTTCAACTTACTTATTATAAAACGCAGATTGTGTGTCTGTACGTTTATATATTGGATCGGATTTCCTACATTTTTCAGCCGATTTCAACAAAACTTCACAGGACTATGTAAAATTACCTTGTGGTGGTTCTGACAACGCCAAAAATTGGAAAAACACAATTGTTTTTGCACGAAATCAATTTGAAAACACGATTAAGAGGCATTAATGAAAAGGGGACAACTCATATCAAGTTATACTTATTAATATTGAGTTATACTTATTATAAAACCCAGGTTGGTTGGTTGTGTGTGTGTGTGTTCGCTTATATATGGGATCGGATTTCCTACATTTTTCAATCGATTTCAACAAAACTTCACTTTTTTTTGGCAGGTAGTGTTTCTTATTGTCTTGCACACTTTTTTCTTTATTTTTACATTCAGAATGCTTTAAAAATTCCATTTACAAGACAATTGTTTATAATAAAATTCTATTCAATCGGTAGACTCATAACGATTGAAAACAATGTTTTTGTTTGGGTTTGACCAATTCGTAAAAATAAAAATTAAAAAAAAATAAAACTAATTAAGACATGTGTGTCCGTCAACCTTAAACAATAATCTTTGTCAATTTTATTTTTCAGTCTTTATGATGGTCAATACTTGATCTATCTCTTACTGTTACATCCCCGGGCAACGCCGGGCTCTACTGCTAGTATGTAAATAAATGGTGATTGCTGTTTCATTTTGCACCTTTTCAGATAGCTATGGAAACTTGTACACTTGTAAGTCTATAAAAGTGAAATTCAAAATAGCTAATTGGCAGAACAGCTTATTAAGAGCTACAAGGAAACAAGAAATTGTGGAGAGTCATGATTGTCAATGTCATGAAGGGACATGACACATAGAAGAATATACTAACATTTCAGTTACCACATTGGTAAAAAAATAAATCTCTTGAAGGTTGAAAAAGTATGACATTGTTATGTGATCAGTTATTGACATCAGAGAGTCACAGATTATTTAATATATACTTATCCTTTTCAGCTGAAATATGCATTAACTGCTAGATGTGTCCTCATATTGTTGTTTGATGCAGAAAATGGTCTGTTTTGGGCTCTAAGTTTAAAAAATATGAAAATTTTCAAGGAGAATGCAAGAAACATATTGAAAATGAGACATCAAAGTTTTATCACAAACTTGTCTTTTACTTGGCTAATCCTATGTTTACATCAGAAAAAGAGGAAGAATATTTGGAGGCTCTACCAGCAGAAACAAGTTGAAGTTGGAGGGATCTAGTATTCTTACAGTGAAAAAAAAAAAACAACAAAGCCTGGTGATATCATGAGGTATTGCTGGGGTACTAATAATGTTTAAACTCTGAAACCATGCCCATTCCAAGGGTAAACCAGTACATAAATCGCCTATTTATATGAATGTATAGCCACTATTCCTTAATTAATTTAAAAAAAAAAAAAAATCTTTCCCAACATTTTTTATCTACTGAAATGTATTTTCATATTTTTTAAACACATCTTTCCGACATCAGCATTTTTATTTTCCTTTCCTTTCAAAAAGGAAACATTTTCATTCAACCTATAGTCTAAATGAGACTTAATACTGAAATACTTCAAACAAATCTCAACATTTTTTTTTACTATTGATTATTGCATTCTTCATTATATGCTTGAGATAAGGTCTGTTCACATGTATATCTAATACGGCTTCTATATCTATCGCATTCTCTCAATCTTAGTTCATATTTATTGATTTGTTTTTAAAAAGTGTGTGACACAGCATGTATCGAGAAAATGGGTTGCACTAGGGACATTCAGTTCAGTTTTGCATTCTATTTCCATTTGTTACCAAGAACAGTGAATTTTTTTTTTAAGTCATGAAGAACGTGTGATGTTTTGGATATTAGTGATTATAATCTTCGAATTTTTTCAGGTGTATATCGTTGGTTATCACATAGAAAGACCAAACGACTGAACATAGTTTGGACAGAAAGAATTGTTTACTCTTCTGCAAGTCTGTTCTTTCCTTCCTTCCTTCCTATCTATTTTCATTCCTATCTCTCTCTCTCTCTTATATATATATATATATATATATATATATATATATATATATATATATACCTGCCTATATCTGTTTGTAACTTCCTATCTGTCCTTTCCTATGTATATATTTCAGTACCTTCCTTCCTATCTGTTTCTGTTCCTTCCCATCTGTCTATCTCTGTTTCTATCTGTCTATATCCGTTCCTTCTTATCTCCCCCTGTTCCATTCTGTTTTTCTATATCTCTCTCTGTCCCTTTCCATATCTATCTATCTATCTATCTATCTATCTATCTATCTATCTATCATGTCAAGATCTAACAACACTCTTTGTATTTCAGAATGAATTATTTCATTGTATTTAAAGTTTGAGCTTGTTGGTGAAGTCCTTTTACTTTAGATTCTTTATTTTATAAAATGCCAACTACTCCTTGTTGCCCACACCCTTACACAGCTGCACCCACTGTTATGGTGAAAGAGATAGGAATATTTTTAAACCAGTTATCTTTTTTCTTATTCCACCCTTACAAACATAATTCTTCTTAAAATATAGAAGAATGTATTAGATTGTCAGTGTCACTTTAGTTTTGTTTGGTACATAGTTATTAGCTGTTTTTTTTTTAATCACCAAGTCATGACTAAGCTACTACTGTTTAAAACAGTTTATACAAGAAATATAATTTTTTTAGTTTATTGTCACTCAATTCTGAGAAATAAAGAGATTTTTTTTTTAAGTTTTTTTTTTTCTTTTTCTAGTATATACTCATTTAACAAGTAACATCTCATTCCCCCCCACACTCTTTCCATCAGTCAGTATTTTAAGTTTGACTGTCAGTTGGACATTTTAGGGATTGGAGGGTCCTTATGAAACATGAAACTGGTAATTCTCTTTTTTTTAAGGATTAAATTAAAAACATTTTGAAGAGATAACGAATATACATGACTCTGGTTTTAGTTTTTCTTAAAGATCATATTGCTTTGACTGACTGCATTTAAATGTGTAGAATAATTACAAAATATTTTTAAATATGTTCTTCAAAATAAAATAATCTATAAATGTGCTTTTTCATTTGGTAACAAAAATAAAATGAAAATCGATAAGTTACAGCAAATTTATTTTCGATCATGGAAAGAACAAATTAGAGAGTGAATTCAGTTTTTTTTACCTTTACGTAAATATTTTTTTATTTGAATAACATTTGGGTATTTGTCTGTCAAAATGGTCACAAGTGGAATTAATGCATGTGTTGACATTACAAATGTGCTTTCATCACAGATAAAGTTATTTTGTTTTTATTGTATATTTATGGTAGAAGAAATTTTGGTATACCATAACAATGTTAGGAAAATCAGTGACAGTGTTAAAAAAAACAAACTTCTGTGATGCGTTTTGGCCTTTATGACTTCATTGTACTAAAAAAGTGATTTTTGCATTGATGTGACTACAGTACACATGCACATAAAGGAGAGGAGAAACTAAAATTTTAAATTTAAAAAAAAAATGTATGTTTGGGTATCTAGCCATTTTCATTTAGTTTCTTTTTGGTTTTGCTCTTATCACTTGTTATTAAGTATCTCACATTGTGATAATAGGAGATTTGCCAAGAAAGGTGTAATATTGTAAGAATTTGGGCACAAATTTACTGTGCATGATCTAGTGATTAAAGCATTTTCTATACACTTTCATCATAGTAAATTGCTTTCTCTTTTAATTAAATCAGGATTTTTTAAAATCAAAATTATCATCAGACTCATTGTTTTGCAAAAAATCTCTATTGTGTTCATATAATTTGTTATTTAAATTCCTTGAGGTTTGTCCTAGGTATCATTTGTAGCAATTATTACAGGTGTTTCAGTAAATTCCTCCTTAAAGTTTTAGCTTATTTTGTTTTGTATTAAGCCTTTTATTGTTGTAGTTGTAACACATTTTATTAAGCTTAAATAAATTCTTTTCAACTTTGTCAGTGATATGAGAAGGTAGAATAATATATTTTGATTCATTGGGTTTCTTAGAATGGTTCACTCACCTATTTTGAGATATTTTACAAACTTTTGTTTCATGTTAAATATGAAATAATTAATTGGATGAGCTTAAAAGTATTTTCAACCTATTTCTCCTTTTCATATAAATATTGGGATAAACAAATTTTGGGGATATTAATAGAGCATCACCAATATATCAGAAATATGTTGAGTGTTTAGGTAAAATATACTAAAACCTTGCTTTTGCCAGATAGATTTGTGAGTTCAGTCCTTAGCCAAATATTAACTCTTTGGTTGGTCTTCATAAGGCAAATCAGCAGTTATAGGTTTTGAAATTTCCTAAGAAATGACATGAATGAGAATTTTCTCTTATGTTTTTAAATTTGTTTTCTTCTAAAAAAAAAACATATTTAATGACCTATACTTTTATAAATCAACTACCAGGTTCTAATTACTAAATTTTGATTATGAATATATATATATATATATATATATATATATATATATATATATATATATATATATATATATATATATATATATTTTTTTTTTTTTTTTTTTCCAGAAGTCAAGTCTGAGAAGCCCCCAAAATATCGACATTCAACATCAGATTTACCACCAAGTAAGTTCAAAGATGTGACTGCAGAAATTCCTTTGGAGAATTTAAGCTGTACTATTGTCACCTCTCAGGACAAGGATCCCATCCCTTCTGAAATAAACCAGGGCAGCAATAATTACAGCAATAATATTTGCTCAACACCTAGTACGCCTGTGAGCCAGGGTCGACAAAGTGAGTCATCACCTCCACAAAGTACCAACCCCAGTTCATCTAACAGCACTCCAACTGAAACCTCTTCTATACTAGAAAGCTTTCACCGACCTCTTCGGGAAACAAAATCCTACCAGATTTCAGATGAGAGCTCACCTAAACGGCGTGTGTTTGACTTCAATCTCCGTAAACATAGCCTCCCAGTTGAGTCACAGGGACATGAAGAACTTGTAATTGATGCCAATAGTCAGGAGCTGATAATCCGTAGTGCTGATCTAACACGTCATAAACGCATTTATAGCCTTCCTGTTGGACAGTCTGTTATGCAATCAAATCTAATTGGATCATCGGTGGATCCTTTACCTCAGCAACTGTCTTCTGCTGACTCGGCTGTATTTTTGCCTTCTGTACATTCCAGTGACCACACTGAAAATACGAGTCGGCAGTTTTGCCAGAGTAAAACTAAGGAAGATTATCCAACTTACCATACACATGTAACATCTGAGCGTACCAGTAGAAGCAATTCAGAAGTGGCCTCTGATGACAAGAACACGCCCACACTTATGAAAATCACACGGCTAAATTCAATTGGAGGAAAGATTGATCTTAAAGATGTAAGTATCTTTTCATTGCTCTGCATTGTCTGTATACAAGTTAACACCTTCTTAGAGGTGGATGTGTGGGTGGTGTAATGGATAGCAGCTTGGAATGAGAAATCTGAGGACCAAATTCAAATTCCAGTCAGATTTGTTACATTCACTTAGATATGAATGCGGTATGAATCAATATCTTTTCCTCCAGCTATGGGTTAAATAGTAGGACTCTTATCTAGAAAAATAATTATTCTCAAAAACTTGTTAATGCAATATTCACTACAAAAAAAATAAAATTTATTTTTTACAATCCAAAATATGTTTTGACTTTAAATAACCCATAAAAAAAACAATCAAGCCACATTGTCAGGACAAGAAAAACACTGCGAAAAGGTAAAGAATTATCAAAAATGTAGTTTAAATATTTAATAAAGTTAAGGATGGGATATATCTTATCCATTGAACTATTTGGACATCATACTACTCCAGTAAGTATCTGACTCCCCCTGCTATACTCTATCTTTACAAAAGCTAGATCAGAATAAAAATGGTGTATTGTTGCCATATCTACAACTCCTTTCCCAGAGACGAAATGTCACTATCCTCTTGTTGCTGCTCTATTGCTATTTCCATGACAAGTTACATTTCTTAGCCCCACTGGACCTGACCTTTACAACTGGGACCCACCATGCTACATACACATGGGTGAATCATGTCCATTCCCTTTTTATTCAATTAGTAAGAAATTAGTTCCACTTGGACAGCTTCTTCCAAAGAACTGTTGCTTTGTGGAACAGACACTTGGCAGAATGTTTTCCCACTTATTAAAATCTTAACCTCTTCAAGTCTAGGGTTAACCATTATCTTTCCTGCATAGCCCCCCCCCCCACCTGAACTTCACTTTTGCCTTTTCTTATGCTCATACAACACCACACAGTAACCCTTGCTGTATGCTGGTAAGCTTCATCAATAATGTTTATTTTTGGTGTCATTGGGGGTTTTGGGCTTCTAAAAACATCAGACCCTGTCTTCCAGGTGACCCAACTAGAAGCGATCACCTCCTGGTCAGCTTCTCAGCCTCACTTGGTCTGTGGGTTTGAATGAAAGTGTTGATGAGCAGTTTTTTCCACACAAGATTTTTTTTCTTTTAATTCAGATTTTAGATCTTGATTCAATTTTTAGCACAAAAATTGGGTGTCAACCCTCTTCAGCTTGATCTGACTATCCAAATATGGATATTTTATTTCAGTTTCCATAGAAATGACCAAAAATTGATATTTATGCTTCCTATACAATATAGCCTGAATATCCCAGCATATATGGGGATGGTCTGTAACTTGAGCTCACAAATTGAAATTGAATTACCTTCAAAATGTTAAAATGTAAAAATTAATTCAATTTGGAAAAAGTTTTAAAGTATCTATTCATAATAAAACATGGCAAAAATATTTTTGAAAATGCCTGTAATAATAATTAGTAGCTACTTGAAAATTACTGCTGAACTTATAATGTGTGAATAATAGTTGAAACTGGTGTTAAATTATTCATTGGTTACAATTGTATGAATCTATTAAACTCCAATGTTCAAATATTACCATATTTTCCCTCCTCACTTTTATGATTAATTTCTAAATACATAACAAATAATATTTTTCTTTTTTTACTTTGTGATGTGAAAAACATATTCAGGCTACTGAGATTTT